CACAGGTTAGATTGAAAAAGTACCTAAAAGATTTCTCTTTGTGAGTAAATCCTCAACTTAATCTGTTTTAGTTGAAGACAGTCTTGACTAGGCTGTAGCTGTAGACAATTTTGTCTTTCTCACAGGTGTTAAGCAGAGGATGAAGGGGCTTTTTTTAAAAAAGTTACCAATTTGATTTTAAAAATCATGACTATCAAGAGTGGAATATAATTATTACTCCATTTAAAAAGGTAACAACTCTTTATATTTAAGATCACAAAGCTGGCAAAATCGATAAATAACAGAAGGTGATCATTTGCATTTCAAAATTCATCTATCTTGCTTTTCCCTCAATTAGACCAAAACATGTTGATTCACAGGTTTGTGCGTGTGTTTGTTTCTTTTTTAAACTTATTTATAGAGTAGAATAATGGCCCCCCTGCTAGGCTGGCATTTGCTCAAGTTTCTGTCCATGTAAATTGAATCTGTTACTGGAATTTTCCCCCCTTCAGAATACCAAGGCACATTAACCAAGAGATAAAGAGATACACTGCTGATACTATCAGCCACCAGGCAGGTGGATAATGCGAGGGATTTTTTATTAGTTTTTGTGGGGTTTTTTGGACAAATATGTGATAAGAGTTCTCAGGGGGCATGGAGACCAAAGGGCTGTTTAAACAGAAGTGAATCATTCTCATCTGATCTGCTAATAACTTTGTATTCAGACATCAGCTGCTTAGCACACTTTAAAACATTCAGAAAGCAAAATTACTACAAGAGCAGGAAAGTTAAAGAAAAAAACCATATAAACCTCACATTAGTCACCTTAACCGTATTGATGCAGCAGAAATTCTCAGTTACAAGTGCTTAATTTCTTCTTTAAAAGCAAATAGGTTATTCTTGGCCAAAACTCCCAGAGTTTTACTCGAATTGGTGTTGAGATTATAGGGGATGATTTATAATCCATCATTTCCCTTGTGGGTTAGAGAAACAATATTTGACTTATCATAGGTGAACAGCAAAGATTTAGTTTGGCCATTAATCAAAGTGTAGCACAGGCACTACTTTTAAGCATCTGCAGAGCGCTTTGTTGTTGCAGTAGCTGGTTCAGCATGAACTTTCTTTTTTTATGGAGTAGAACTATGCAGGAGCAAAGAGAGCTATCCAGCTTTACCAACAGATTCAACAGCCCTATAACGCACCACGACTCTGAGCTTGCGAGTACAATTCTTGATATGCAAATCGTTACAAATAAACCGCATCTCCCAGCTCCAGCTCTTACGCGAAGTCAGGCCACTCGGAGCCAGCAACAGCAAAATCCATCAATGGTGCAGTGCCACCTGCCGGCAGGAGCGCGGAAGTGCCGCTTCTTCCAACGGATTTCGCCCTGCTTCTAATTTATGCACGATATAAAATGACAATTGCCATTTCATACAAAATTAATCATATTGCTAGTGGGGAATGGTATGCAGCTTTTTAAACTCTCTCCTCTCTCATCTTTTTGCCACTTCTCCACTTACAGTGTTTGCATTTGTTCTATTATTTTATGTATACACTGCATGATCTCTTTTTTACATATGCAGTCACATTGCCTCTCCGCTTTTTGTAGGATAACAAGAGCTGAGCAAGTCCTTGCTATTCATCATGACAAGGATCTGATCGCTGTTTCTGTACCAATACTACCTTGCTTTGCTTTAATACAAGGTTACAACCTAGGGTACTGAAAGTCTCAAATACAAAATCCTAGATCCTGCAAGCAAGCTCCACGTAGTTGGAGCTCTATTCTCCCCTGGGTCTGAAAAGTTTCAACATTAATACATTATTATCCCTAGCCCCTCCAGGAATTAGATTCTGATACATAAATTGTAGAATTTAGACTCCATGTTTTCCTTCAACCAATAAAGCAACTTAAAATTTAAGTACGTCCTCAGGCACTTCACTGCTAAGCACATTATAATTTGTGCTATAAAATTAACACCTGAAACCTTATCAATTAAAAAAGATAAAATTGTTTCAAATACATTTTTACAACTTTCACGTAACTCTGCAATACAATTTCCTACCTATTTTAAATTGAAGATATCCTACAATCTGTTTAAATTTCACATTCATCCTCTCCTTTTTCTGCCTCCAAAATTTGCTCCTCAAAAATCAATGCAAAAAAAGAACTGCATCCCAAGACTCATCATCCGTTCTCAGTCTCCAACACCAGACCTAAAAAGACAGTGTTTTGATAAAGACTTCTTCCCTTTCTTGCATACTTCTAATGAGTGCATTTAAATAACAAAACATCGGAATCACGTGACACACGAGTTACCATATCCAAATCCTATTCTCTCCCGAACTCTGATGAAAACATGCACCAAGCTAAACACACAGAGACAGAATTTGACAAACCAAATTTCACTGCATCCTTCAGTTAGGTGAGAAAAGGAGAGGGAAGGCTGAGTACCCAGATGTAGGGGAGCACAGCATACAATGCTGGAAACAGCAGGAAAATTGAAAACAAGATAAAGACGCACTTTGAGTCACTTTATTTAGTCACTGTGTTGTATTATGATAAGACATCGTAAGACCTGATGAAATTTTGTGAATATCACTTGTTCGCCTCTACAAAACTGTAGCACTTCCTTCAGCAGGCAGAAAGCAAGCTGTGAGAAACATTTACCATCAGTTTTTAAAGCAACTTAAAAAGAACAAAAAAAAAACCAACAAAAAAACCCCAAACTTGCTGATTTCTTTTAGTGTACTGAACTGAAACATAAGTATAATTTGAAAATCCTTATTGCTAGAAGCAACTTGAGGAGCAATGCTATCACGATAAAAGGGAGACATGGATTCCAGGGACATGGTAGACTCCTTAAAACGAAAAATTATCATCCAAATAATGTTTTCTTTTCCTGTAACATCAGAACCTAAAGAAAGCCGACTAACACAATTATTTTTTTAATATTGATCAAATGCTCTAGAGCAAGATTTACCAGCAGCAGTAGCCCTAAGAAAGCTGCTTTGGACTCATCTAGACACCATTATTGAAGATACAGATATTAAATCATTGCTCAGAATAGAATGGCACTTGGCTCCAAATTATATTTTGTACTGCTGAGTTATACTGAGTATTACTCTCCTACGCAAAAATTAGCATGAAATAGCTATACTAAAATAAAAGTATGCTTTGCAGAGATAACATTAAGATCAAGAAATATGAAAGGTAAGAATCATAGAGCAGCATCAATTCAGCCATCTTGCATATATCTAATACTTGCATTTGCAAATCTTCATCTTGTAGCTCACCCGTTACAGACACACAAAGCAAACTGCAGCTTGGGGTAGGGCAGAGAGGGCGGAGAGGAGAGGGCAACTTAACCAAGAAAAGCCCGAATGGATACCATACCTGTGCTGTGAGGTGGAAATAATGATGGTGCGGAAAACTTTATTCTTGCATTTGGGGACTTCTAAATATTATTTCAACTGCTCCCTAAACACTTAATTACTGCAGGAGTTGGCTGGTTGGGGCTTAGGGGGCAAAAAAAGCTTCTCTTTGGATCCTCATTAAAATACAGAAAAATTAAGCTTTGACTTTCACAGCTCATTAATGATGACAGGGTGGGAAAAGGCTGCACTTCCATCTTTGCTGCTACTCAACTAGGGAGCGCTTTGTTAGAGGCTGGGTTAGGGAGGCAGGAAAATGCCTCTTTCTAACAGGACATCATGCACGTTGGCAACCAGGACACATTTCTATTTAACAACCACAAGAATTGCTGGGATTCCCCAATTTTCTTGTTCTTGAATTAAAGTGGGGTGAGGGTAGAATGAAGGTGTTGGGTTTGCTTTGACAGGAAAAAGAATTCTTTTCTGTTATACCTGCCCTTTTGACTTGCACCTGGATAGCAAAGATTTTATTTACTATTTATCTCAAGAGGCTGGCATTCAAATTTTTGTTGAGATTCTACCACCTCTATTCACAGAAAGCAGTTCCTTACTGTATTTCAGTTGCAGGACTAAGTCACAGAATAAACACCTGATGTCAAACTAAGTCCAAAACTTCCATTGCTGATAACTCCTATTTTAAATTTTTCTGAGCACATGCGCAGACTCTGAGCTTGAGGACTACCTGCATGCCAAGTCACAATGCTTAGCCAGACCACACACTCGGCAGAAAGAGCATCTTAGCATTGCAAATTCAGAATAAAAAAGAGAAACTGAAAATCTGAATAGCCTCCCATTAGTCATTTCAACTCTAGAAGTAGTATTTTTAAGCTACTTATGAAATTATTAAAATACAAAGTTATAAACAAAACACCTGATTTTTGGCTGTCACTACCATTTGACCACTATATTAGCAGAAAATAAATCGGAAAAAGGAAAAGAGGGAGGGCTCGGTTTCAAGTGCTATCCTTGCTATAAAAACCCAAGAGATATTGATTTTATCACCCTCATGATTGATGAAAGCAGTTCTAAGAAAAGAGCTCTCTAAACTATTTCAAAGCCCACTGTCGCTCAACAAAAATGTTAGAGGCATCTCTGAGCTTATTAGGGTTGTATTTTTGAAACTGCTATGTTTCCCCCC